ATCCCCCCTCGCCCAAATGGCAGATTCAGTCTGGTGCTTTTGTCTTTCTGATTGCAGTCTACGGGTTGTGCTGTTGTTGCCTTTGTTGGGTTTGCCTGTTTGCGGGGCAAAGCCGGGAGTTCTTGATCGTTGGTGATTGCTTCGCTTCTGAGCCTCTGCGCTTTCCTTTGTTTGCAGCGCCCGAGGGGAAGCCTGAGGGGAAACTGCGCTGATACAAAGTATCCGCTTGCAGTTTTGAGTTAAGCGTTGCCACCTGGCTGTAATCAGTTCATGGTTTCACTTCCCCTTTTTCTCTACTAGCGCCCGGGCGGTGAAATTGACTAGGCGCAGATGAGCAGCGCTTCGCCGTGCCGTGCCGTGCCGTGCCGTGCCGTGCCGGCTGAATCTGACACCTAAATCACTGTAATTCCTTAGAATTTTTAGATGCAAAATAACTCCTGAAAACCAAATTTTCCTACCCCCTTTTCTTTTTCTTTTCCTTAATGTTAGAGCCATAGTTATGTCAGCCAAAAAAATAAGCTATACCTTAGTAAGTTTGTTCTTCTCCAACCATGTCTTTTACTACTATGAATTAACATCCTATTATTAGAAGCAAACTAATAGTATGTACATAATAAACAAATATGTCTTAAATTGATTTTATTATAACTATGTGGTCTTTATTCTCTTATGATTACGTATAAGTGGATTCTTGGTTGAGGGTTATATTCTGTAATGTTTCTTATTTGTGTGAATTCTTCAAACCAGAGAATTTCTACTAATGACTCCAGCTATTTCCAAGAAACATTGTACTATGGAAGCTGCACATGATTAAATTAGACAGTATAGTTAAGAGAATAAGACAAAACTGAATATGGTTGAGTTTGAAAGCAAACAATTTTTCATCCTTAGAATAGTTTATTAACTATAGTGATATCTGCCATTTATAAAATATCTTCTCTCTGTTATGTAATGCATATTTTAAGTAAATTACCCTTAGAACCTGGGAACACCATAGCAATAAGTCTCCATTTTGCTGTACAGCATTAAATATGCACAAATCTTAAGGCTGCCCAAATTTAAAATTACTTTCTTAAAACAATGTCCCTGTGAGAGATTGTAGAAAATCTGAGTAAGGAGTGGAAAAGAGAACAGACATAATCAACAGACAACAAGCGAGTCAGTTGAAAACATAAATGGCAACTGAGTCCAGTGGAGAGAAACCCAGAAAGAAGCATTTCAAATCATTCAAAGAGGCTCTGCTCTATTAACTTACTAAAAATGTGGCAACTTTAAGATGTGGGGACTTCAACTCCCAGAATTCCCCAGCCACCATTATAAATGAGGTTAGGAAATTCCTTCATCATTTCCAAGATTCTGTATTTCTCCTAGTTACATATTTAAATCTGTGCAGTTCTTTCTTCCTTCATCTTGCCTAGCTACTATATGTGGGCCATGACGGTTTCCACCAGGTACTAAATGTGATAGCACTGACAAAAAAAAAAAAAAGACCTCTACTTCAATCAAATAAAATATTCCATGGTGAACACTGATAACAGTGCTGTAAACTAAAATATGTAGCACTCTGATTTCATAGTCTCAATTAAATCACTGATCTGAACACAAATGTATTTCCTGGCAGGAGCACATTTTTGCATAAATGTTTTTCTTTAATGTTTTAGGTGAAAGGTCCTCCAGCTGCAGGAGCGTTTAAAGAAAGACCAACGAAGCCCACAGCATTTCGCAAGTTTTATGAAAGAGGTGACTTCCCAATTGCCCTTGAGCATGATACAAGAGGAAACAAAATAGCCTGGAAGGTAGGTCAGGGCACAGCTGTGACAGGCAGCTGCATTTATTGAAGTGACATCTCTCATTGCCAAAAACCCGTTGGCTTATAAGTAAATAAAGTAGAGTAATTTCTTAGCAAATAGAAGATGGTGGGGGAACAAGTCAGAGACTGGCCTCCTGAGTCAGCCATCTACCTTGGTGAACAATTAAATTATATGCTGCAAAAAGGAAGATGACAGAGTTGCTTTGCCTTAGAGAACTGTCTCCTGCTCAATTCATCTCTATTTTTATGAGGACCTGGCAACCCAGCCTGTTCCAGGCAGTCCATCAAATGATGGAAGTGGCTGGATACAGTGAGCAGCAGCCATTTATCTCCCCCCAAATTTCACCTTCCTGCAGGACAGTTCCAAATGGAAGCTTTAATTACCTAAATGGATAGGTCAAGATTGCCTGCTCCTTTGAAATGCAGAGCAGAATACTAACGAACGCAGATTCTCATTCCACGGCTGCACTCCCAGTCTGCAGCATATGTCAGACAGCGTAATCGCTGTCATGCATGCCCCTGTTAGAGACTGACCTCCACTGCTGAAACCATTATGGCTCTGACATCTCTGACAAAAGGTTAATTGGCTTCAAAATAAATGTATTGCCTAATGACTTCATTCAAATGCAGCCGTGTTTCTCTCCAAAAGGCTCAGTGATGTTATTTGTAAAACTTGCCAATCTTTTAAGTAACTAGAGCAGGCTTTTAAATTTAATTTGAAAAATGAATGCTGATCTTTAACCTGTTCTTTCTATTTAATTATTTTTGTTATCAAAGAATGAATTTCTCTGTTTGTGTGTGTTGTTTATTGGCTGGACTAAGATTTCAGACTGGACAAGGATAGCCTGTAGTCAAACACTGTATATTGGGAGTAATATAAAGAGAAGCACAGAACCCATTCTTAGAACATCTGAGTAACTCATGTTGAAAGTCAGCTTGATTTAAACTACCATAATTTTGTTAATTAAAATAAAAAAATAAGAAGCTCTTAGACATGACAATAACAATAATAATAATTCTCTATAATTTATGATATTAAATAATTTGGCACCCTGTAAAACTTACTAAGCAAGATTACATCCAAATTTAGTGGATATATTTTGCTCAGATATATTGGCCAATGACTTTTGGCATGACATTTTCTAATCTTATTGAATATTATTACTGATATTTATATATGAATGTTTATGTAAACTTTATGATATTTATATAAGAATGTTTATGTAAACTTTATATGAAACTGTAATATTCATTATTCTGTTTTGATTTTCCTCAAGGTTATAATGCTTAAGCCAGTAATACATTTGATTTGAATTAATAAACACAGGAAAGAAATCACAAAGCAGAATTGATGGGGCAAGATCCATCAATTACAAAATGACTTGTAGACTAACTTAAACAGATTTAAGTTTAATTATATCTATTTTTTTAAAAGGTGGCATAAGCTAATATTGCTTACTTACAAATTTTAGTGGTAAAGATTTAGAAGAGAAACGGAGGGAAATGCACAGAAGTGTAATGAGTATTTTACTATTTTCAGTCCCTATTTTGCTGCTTATATTTACTGGATATAGCAGAAGGTTTTACCAAGTTCCTGCATGGTATCAAGAGAACATGAGAATTAAAAAGCTCCTGTAATTCCAGCCCTTGTTTTATCTTTAGGTCAGCTGATGGCTGAATCCACCATAGGTACCAGTCTAAAGCCACATCCCACCGCTGCTTTGCTTTGCTTTCCTGGAGCCAGCAGGAACTCATATCACTGTATATCTTGCTGGTTGTATAGCATGCCCTTCCTGTGCAACTGGAAGAGGTCTGCATTGTGCTGATTTGATGTACAACATTCAAAGAGCCATGATTGATGGTTCTCTGGGCTGAAATACCAGCCTTGTATAATATCATTCAGCTTTTGAAAAGCCTCCTCTAGTTGGAATGCACAAAACTCTGCATGCACTGCATTATTTTCCTTTTTCTTTCACATTGTACATAGACTGAATAAACTTTTTTTTTTTTAATCTTTGAAACTATAGGTCCACCAGATGATTGTTCAATGTAATGATCCCTAGCTGGCAGCAAAGAGTTTGAGGGTTTTTTTTAAAAAAAATCACTTGGCTGCCTTCTAGCGGTCATCTAGATTTGTGTAGCTGAGATGCAGTTGTTGAATCAGAGTTTTGAAGAGCTGGAGTTAAAGGAAATTCAGTTGTAAGGATTGATGTGGAAACTGTAAGCTTTCTAAGGAGAGGAATCAGGACTTACCTGGAAGCAACAACCACTGGAAAGGGTTCTTCCAACAGGCAGTCTACTGAAATGCAAGATTTTTATTTAGATAGTCTTGGGTTGTGGGCATTATGAGCCCATCTATGAGAAAAGGCTGTCTGTGCATGCAAATATTCCTCGCATATTTACTTTCCATTCTGTGTTGATTCAGTGAACTGAAGGTGGAGAATTTTTTCCATCTCACGTTCTTGGCAAGGTATGATGCAAGAGCCAGAATTTATTTTCATGTCATTTATTTCATTTAGTCCAAAGTATTGTGTTTCTGATCATTTAAAAAAAATGTATGAAGTGCTTTTGTATGTAACCAGTTAAATCTCTGTCTCAAGATACTTATATCAACAGTCTATGATTCTACTCAACTGTGTTGCTGAATGATTTATGCATGTCTTATTTTCAAAATGAAATAATTTTAAAGGCATTAATATGAAACTTTAATAGAATATAGTCTGTAGTCTTGAACTACCATAATTGCTGGCAGTTCTTTTTTCTAATATGGCTCTCTTTCTGGAATGTATTAGGTATTAATTAGCCTGCTTTTAAATAAATCCTACTGGGAGAGTACAAATTTTGTCATTGTATCATAATTGTAATATGCAATTGCAATAGAGAAAAGTTAACTTTATTTTCTAGCAGTGATTTTTTTTTCAAAATCCACTTATTTGAAGCCTTTGGTTTAATCCCTTATTTTTTCACTGAAATAGAGCTTAAATATGCATAATTCTATTTGAACAGCTTCATTTGGTTACTACTGATTTATCTCTATAATTTATTTATTACAGAGATTTGAATACTACCTTAGCATAGAAAGATTCCAGTCTATTTACAACAATATAACAAAGCTCAAAAATTCCTATATCCCTTGCACAACATATAAAATCCAGATAAATAAGAACAACCCAATTAAAACAATACAAACACCCCAACATGATCACTACCATCCATAGGTCCACCAGAACAAGAACCTTTTAACAGGTTTGCAAGAAATGAGTAGGATGGTGACCAAATGAATCTTGGGAGTATGTTGGGGATACCACCAAAAACGACTGCCTCTCAGCCGCCATCTCCTTAACCTTGTGTGGTAGGAACCTAAGTATCCCCTCTCAGGATGAATGCATAGGACAGACCAATTCTAGTTTAAGGAGATGCTCATGCAGGTACATGAGTGTCAAACTATGTAGGGCATAATAGGTTCAAACCAATATTTTGAATTAGACCTAGAGATTTATTTGTAGGCATGACAGAAATACTTGTGTTAGCTGCTGAAATGATTAACTCCTGCCAGTAGCCATGCCACTGCATTTTAAACTAATTGCAGTTTCCAAATTGTCTTCAAAGGCAACCCTCTATTTGGTATGTTCCAGTAGTCTGATAATGACATAACTAGTTCATGAGTCCCTGTCACAGGAGCTTCACAATTCAAGCAAAGCCGCAGCTGGTGTACCAGTGAAAGCAAGCACTGGGACTTCCCTGGCCTCCTTCAAGATGGCAGAACACCAATTGGTTATTTATGCAGCATCAATCAGTTTGCAAATTTGGTTTTACAGTGCAGTGCATTCATGTGGGCAAAAAATATGGTGACATCCCATGGAGAAGGTATCTTCATAGTGAGAGGCAAGAATGTTGTACTTCCAGGAGAAACTGACCTTGATAAAGAAAGTGATACCTCTTTGCACCAAGTATCCATAGAGGAGATTTTGGAAATACAGTGGGTGGAGTGGCAATCTAAGCAGGAGCTGAAGAAGTTAAAAATGCAAGGACTGAATGAGTGAGACCTCTTTTTCACAAGGACTGATATACTGGATGAATACAAAGTGTTTGCTTAAACTGTTTCCTGTGTTGAAGAGATTGTGTTCTAAGATCCCTGTGTGTTGGACATGTGCTTTATTTTGATTTTGGACTATTTTCCCCAAGTACAGAAAACAGTTTAATCATCATGACATATAGTTCCTCCCATTTTACAAAATCATTACTCCTGAAGACCTCAAAAATATTGGTACTTTCATATAATCCAGCATGTTGGAGCAACTGTAAAGAGTGCTGGCTTGTGACAACATTTTTAAAGCTTTTTGAAGGAGAGAGATGGAGGCCAAAACATCTCTATAGGTCTGTGACAAGATCATGGATAACATTCCATTTCTTGCTATCATACTACTACATTGATATCCTACCTTTTGTCTAGAAGCTCAAGGTAGAAATACAGAAGGCTTTTCCAGACCTTTTCTGATATAGTCTTTCACACAACCCTCCCATCTAAAATACCAGGTCTGAAAGGCAAGAAGACTTTCCAGTTAGCTTTGAACATGATTACAAGGACCTGCCATTGGAAAGAGAAGCTAATTTCTCCTATATGCAGAAATGCTTTCTACTCATGTATAGGATTTGTACTACTTTGATGACAAAACTGCCATTCATAGATTTATTTAACATAATTATTTAGAAACGGCATTGAGAGGACAGTATCATTGATGTGGTTGTACAGGATGCAAAATTGCCAAATGCCATAAGCAAAGGCACAATATTACAAGAGCCAACTTTTCCCCAATTAACTAGAACTATAAAATGTGCAGTGATCAAACCGTATTTATTGAGTTTAGTAGAAAATGTTTAAAATGATCATTTGACCATCTTTTTGTTGTTTTTAATTCAATATTCCTTAAAACATTATAAATTGGTGTTTCTCATCTTGTAGTATATATGCCATTGGTAGTATGC